CCACTCGCCTCTGCTACAGTCACCAGATTCTTTGCTCATGATCTCTGCTCATTCTGTCAGTAGAGAAGGAGATTAAATAGCTTATAAAGAACAGGAAGTTGTAAATTGCAGGAAAATTAGTTCTGAAATTATGTATCAATGCTAGTTCATTTTCAATTGTATTTAAAAAAAGTCTCCAGTCTGACAAACAAGTGGTAGGTACACTGTGCACTGGGACAGTATTATGGAAATGTACAGTGAGCACTGAGATGTGCATAGGAGTGTAATTTGTGAGTAACAAGATGTGTGTGCTCTGAATAAGTAGCTTTCAGCACATCTAGAGTATTGGTATTTGCTCTTAGGCTACTGCAATATTCCCTGCAGCTGCCTTGTGCCATCAGGGACAAGAGCATCCGCAGTCTCTCCTTTCTCCCTTCTCCCCACCCCACCCTTAGTAAAGCAGAAAATAAAGAGGATGACAGAATAATGTTAAAAACTGGTCGAAGAGGTAAGGACAGCAATCACTGCAGAATCTCAGTCAGATGAGTCTCAGGCTTGGTTATATTCATATTTGACTTTCAAATTCTGATACAGTCAGAATGCAAAGCCATTTCCATTCTACTCCCTGTTTTCACCCTTTTGGAGCTTTCACAACATGGATCCTTTGAGATGTATTTTCCACCTTTTATCAACTCCCAGAGGAGCATGTGACCATATATATTCATCTTAAAAGTTCTAGCTGAAATCTCTTACAGGTTTGTGAATTCAATACCCATGTGGTAAAAATGCGATAACATTTTTTTCTCACAGACTTTTTCACCATGTAGAGAAATCTGCTACAAGAATGTAGATGTAGAGGAATATTAATACTTCCCCTAGTTTTTATGTGGCAAAATCTCCTATTAGAAAAGTCTATACCATTTCAGAATATCCCATCTCTCCTGACTAAAGTCCATAGAGCGCACAGTCTGTAGTACAGCTGCAGGTATTGCAGATACTGTGTCCCTGGTGTGACAGTTTAATATTCTGTCACAGACAAGAGAGTCATGCATTCAAGGGTCGTTAGCATTAGGATAGGGATATATGTATTAAATTTTTCTTGTGCACCATGTGCAAATGTGCTTGACTTACTCATAACAAATCCTTTCCTGTGTCTGTTTAAGAATAAAGGTATGATTATAACAGAAGCCAAGTTTTATGTCATAAAGTCATAGAGTCATAGAATGATTTGGGTTGGAAGGAACCTTGAAGCTCATTTTGTTCCACCCCCTGCCATGGGCAGGGACACTTTCCACTAGTTCAGGTTGCTCAACCCTTGCCTTGGACACTTCCAGGGAAGGATCATCCACAGCTTCTCTGGACAACCTCTGCCAAGGCCTCACCACCCTCACGGGGAAGAATTTTTTCCTTGTATCTGATCCAAATCCACCCTCTTTCAGTTTCCTTCTTCACTCCAGGCCCTTGTAAAAAGTCCCCTCTCCAGTTCTCTTGGATCTCCTTCAGGCCCTGGAAAGGGCTCCAAAGTCTCCCCTGAGCCTTCTCCAGGCTAAACAGCCCTGGCTCCCCCAGCCTGTCTCCGGAGCTCCAGCTCTCAGAGCCTTCATGGCCTGCTCTGGACTTGCTCCAGCAGCTCCATGTCCTTCTTGTGCTGGTACCCCAGAGCTGGGGCAGCTCTGCAGGTGGGGTCTCACCTGAGCAGGGCAGAGGGGCAGAACCCCCCTCCCCTGCTGCCCACACTGCCCTTGGTGCAGCCCAGGACATGGGTGAGCCATGGCCAGGTCAGGTCGAACTTCTCATCCACCAACACCCCTAAGTCCTTCTCTGCTCTCAGTCCTCTCCCTGCCCTGCCTGTATTTGTGCCTGGGATTGCTCTGATGCGTGTGCAGGGGGTATATAGCTATACAGGGAGAATTGTTAAAATAACATTGCATTTCTGTGCTGTGTATGACTATCACTCATACCACTTCTCAGTTCACACTCCTGTTTTATCCTCCTTCTCCTTGGTAAGAACACTCTTCATAGATGCCAAGAAAACAACTGTCATAAGTGAAGCTATTGTCTCTTCAATGACCACAGGAATATCTACTGAATTTAATATATTGGCTTGGGAAATCTGTTTTGCCCACCCTAAATGTCTGTCTGTCTTAAATACATCTGCTCAGAGTGATGTGTGTTATATAAATAAAACTACACAGACAGCATGTTTGTCAATCAGCAAAAAAGGCTCTACATCCACTATCCCGGGCACATGTACTTCCTAAGCATTGGTTTCCAACAGATAAATGTAATCAAGGTTTATATGCTCACAGAAGCCAACAGGATGGGATTTTTTCACTTGAAAGATCAGAGGAAAATTGTAACTAATGTTGTGGAAAATTACTTTGATATTGCTTCCTCAGTACAGCATCACAATTAGGTAGCAATGTGAAGCACAGGGAAAGAATAAATGAATAGTAACAAATCAACACAAACAGCTACTGTCAGGAGTACTTTGCTCAGTGAAAGTAACGTAAGCATTACTTAAAGTTTTATGACCGTGGATTTTATACTGGTTTAAGTAGTACATCAAGGTCTCACCGTCATGCTTGCTACGACTAAAACAATCAAGAACAATTTCCAGAACAGACAGATAAAACCAAAGTACCAAAGTATTTTTTAGTCTTGTTTCATAAGTTGTACTATCTCAAATTAAAGGTGACTGAACGTACTAACAATGAAAAATGTCCTTTTGGACAATGCAAAGTTCTCCTACGCTGCTTTTCAGTGGGAAATAAATGTTAGGGACCTGTCTCCAGCCCTGCTGATGAGATTCCAGCGTCTGGCAAATGTGTTTTACTACACAGGAAATACAGCAAAGGCTAATCCAGTAAAGCTTTTCCATGCAGAATCTGTTGTCCTAAGTAGCTTAATGACACATGCATTTGTTCAATTCTATTGAGAGAGCAATCAGGCAAGCAAATTATAGCAATATCCCATCTCCATTAGAACCAGGCCCCTTTAAGGAGAAACACTCTGAACAGAGGAAGTGAAGGATCCTTCTCAGCATGCCAAAAATGTCATCTGTGATTGACAGCTTTTCACAGGAGACTGTCTAGAAATTAAATATAGCTACGTCTCTTTATAATGAAATGAATGGATATTTTTTCCCATGTCCTTTAAGCCACCTAATGTGTTTAGTGATAACTGGTATCATTTTCAAAAGCAGGGGATGTGAGTAGTCTCTGAGTCCGCTGGGAGTTGAAAGCACTTAGCGCACATGAAAATCAGCCAAACAGAAATCAGAGTAATTGTATCGAGCACCTTTTACTCAAGGGTACAGCCTGGTTCCTATTAACATAAATAGTAATTGAATGTGAGACTCGAGGAATTGATTACACCCCTTTGGCAGGAACAGCGTGGCTGGGATGTTTGAGGTGTCCGCAGCAATCGAGTGCGTTACAGAGTGAGTTTCCCTGTTGGGGGTAGGAGCTCTGTTCGAACTTGCTTTTATTTAAATGTGCTTGGGTGCCCCCTTCTCCAGTTATATGCCCTCAAAAATCACTTCACAGTGCACTCCAATCAGCAATTGGCATTCAAGAGGTTTGTGGCAGAGAACAGAGGTGCCACAGGTCAAGATGAGGGACCGATAATGAAAGAAATGGAACAGAAATTGCACTGGTTTTGAAACAACACTAGAAAATCCTTCTCTTTCAGGAGAAAAGAATTAACTTTTCCATGTAAAGTTACACATTCTTAGATGCATTAGAGTACTGCCTGCATTGGCTGCCCATACATTTTTCCCCTAACCCCAAACTACTGGCCAGTTTCGGTCGAATATGGCCAGTACTCCTGGTTTTAATCTGTAAGCTCTTTTGCATCTAAGCATACAAAAATAAATTGCAAAAGCACTGAAGGGACTAGTTAATCCTCTGCTTTGCACAACACTGAAGATTCATTATTTCTATAGTTTCAGCTGAGTGGTTGCTTTCAAAATTGGTGTGCAGTTGGACTAAATAATAAACATATTAAAGTACAGATCGTTTAGTGACATGGAAATAAGCACTTAATAAACCTGGACACAGAAATTAGCAATTAATGTAATTATTTAAGAGTTCTCTGTGTTATGGTTCAGCTCCTTCAAAAATGTAATACTTTTAAATATACACAGTTGTGTTGGTCATCTGATGAAGGTGTCAAACGAATGGACTTTTTATAAAGCACTCGTTAATTCAAAGGACAATTTCAGTGCGTGTAAGAGCAAGCACAGGAACTGACTCCCAACACACAGTGGCATTATTCTGAACTAGAGTGACTGCACTGGCATTTGTCAAGGCTCTAAACCAGCCTTCACTGCAGCCTTAGTCGGAAAAAAAGGGGACTGTAAGTAAATCAAAAGATCTTGTGCCCTTTCATACTTCTTGTGTGCCCCTCCTTTGAAAGAAAACAGCCCACAGTTTTCTGTTTCTCCCATTGCTGGGTCTCTGTGGCTTTGCACAGTTTCAGGTGAGTCGTGCAGGAAGATGGCACGCACATGAATGATAGTTATGGCGTTTAATTGAAGTTAAGCAAATTGAACAAGTGCATCCCAAAGCATTTTATGTTTCTCGTGTGACTCATTTGTGCATCTCTTATTTTGCATCTCATGACACACTGAATACCATATGCAGGCAAAGGTCGATCCAGAGGGGTGCATTTACAGGAACAGAACTTTTGGTGAAATCTCTCACTTTCATAGTTATTGTGGTATAGTTGGTAGCAGAAGTTGGTCTCAAGTTTAGCAGAAACTTAAGTCCATCCAGCTGGCCCCTTTGCACCTTGGCAAAGATCCCTGTATAATCAATCAGTTAATTGGTTCTTGGAACAGTTTTTCCGGCAATTTTTTTTTTAAGAAATTGGTAATTACTTTCAAGATAGCCTTCATTAAGAATTACATACCTTTTTTGAGGCAATCTCTGTGAAATATGTAAAACATGCTAAGGGTAAAAGTAGAAAATACTGAACACGAAAGGGCAGGTGATTCAAATAGAAATAGGAATCCTAACCTGGTGTCTGTTGATGAACTATTTCTTCTGGATCCTGCAGGTGAATGAAGACAACGAGTCCAACTGCTCCAAACAGCAAGATGAAGGAGAACATACAGGTCAGCCTCATAATTACTGTTCTCAGATCAATCCAGTTCTGAGGCAGGAAAAGAAGTACATTCGATCTCCAGGGCACTCTTCACTCATAGTCTCGTCCTCTCATCTGGAAGTCTGGTGTAATACATCTACAAGAAATAAAAAAACCAAACCCCTTAAACTTAACATATAGAGCATTTATTTTTTCAGTGCAGATTAGTAGATTTAAGTGCTTGTTTAGACCAAATAACTAATTTCTTTAGTATTTCTTTTGTACAATTAATTGCAGTCATCCAGTCTGTTTCTGCCTCATCAGTTTGTCTTTAATTATATGTCCCTGCTTTTAACGTGTTGAAAAGACAACATAGTATATAGTTAAAAAGCACATTTTGGGAAAAATGATCATGCCATGGCTGCAAAATTTGTAGAGAAAGCCCTCTTAGTAGATTGCTTCCTCCAAATGAAGCATGTGTCACTTTTTATTTTTATTTTTCACCGATTAAACAATATGAAAACCATGAAGTGCAATAATGTGCAAGAAATGATCCCAAAAGCTGCACCTTGCATGCCAAACATGGAGAGAGGGATGAACAACTGGCAGCTGCCTGTTTCACCTGTGATAAAAAATAAAAACAGCTGCATCCAAATGGTGCACCACAGGTCACCCACTGGAAAAGCTCAGCAGCCCTATGGATTTCCAAGGGAAATCCTGGTCACAGGGCTTGTACCTCCTTTTACCGGCTGGCAGGAAACATGAGGAAAGAGCGTGGGCAGCAGGAGGGCTGTCTGTGCAGGAGCCACGGGCACGGCTGCCTCTCCTCCCCCGGGAGTGCCCGGCGAGTCCCCGGGCTCGGTCCTGCAGATCCTCCCTGCTGGCTCGACCCTGCTGTTAGGAGCAGTCCCAGAGGAACAGCAGCAGCCCTGCTCCCAGATGGGCACCTCGTGTGTCTTTCTAAAGCCCTCGCTGAGCACAGCCCTGAGGCTTTAAGCCCATGAATAGTCCTGCTGGAACCCAGTCTGTTCTGGTACGATACTAAGTAGTGAAAGAATGAGAACCAAAGACGACAATTACTACCAGTGCCACATGGCTTTATTAATTAAAATAAATGCTTTTGCCACACAGCTATGCCAATCCTGTGGTTTTTAGTAACACAGTGAAAGGTGCATCAGAGCACAGGCAGTGGAACTGGGTCCCAAAATGTAACTGGATTTTTTACCAGCGAATTCTTGACCCCAGGGGCTCAGCTGCAGCTCAGCAGCAGGTGGAGGGGGGTGATCACTTTGCTTTCCTCGTATTTCTTATTGCAAATGGGACCTGGTCTAAAGGAAAGTTTTTGAAGGTGGTCTTTGTTTACAAAGGGTGTTTTAAGTATGGTAAGACTGTGTAACATTGGTTTGCAGGGAGGATGGGTTGTGGAGAGGTGATGATTCAAAGCAGTTATGTCAGGAAAAGTCTTAAAGATTTGTCCTAAATGGGCCTGGAATATTTGGTGTTGGGGCAACTTGTTTACTTTTCATGGCTTGCATAGCAGGTTTTTAATCTTCTGCTGTGTACTGGCATTCTAAATTTCTAAAATGCACCAAAGATCGCTGTGACTCTGACTGATAAGGTTATTAAGGTTATTTAATGGCAACTACATTTATTCAGTGTGTAAAGCAGCCAGAGCTCCAGGCCAGGAACACCAGTGGATGCTTGTATCTTAAATGAATGCAGAGCATTCTCTCTATACATAGGCAAAGTCAGCTTTATTTTCTGTTAAAATTATGGCAGATACTAACTGTATTTTTACTATTTTTTCGCCTTAAACCTCTCTCGCACCTTTGAAAGTAAAACTAAAAGAAAATGTCACTAAGTTTTTCAGCACTAGCAAAGCCAAATTGTTCTAAGTCCTTGTGCAGGTCCATCTGTGCCTGTTGAGTGCATGTGTATGTAGTATGGATAGACATTTGGAACATGTATTTATTACATATAGTTATTTTTAAATGTCAAGTGCAACTCTAAACCCCTAGGGGACTCAGAGTAGCCTTCAAAGCACCTGTGTTATCATTCCAAACACTGTTGTTATAAGGAAACAATCAGGGAACAGGACTCACCCCCTCTCTGGTTCACTACTGTGTTTGGCTACATAGGCAGTGATTTGGATAAATGGGTACTTTGAACTAAATCCAACTGCAGCAAGGCTGGTACAAGACCAAAATCACACTATCATTTCGTAAATCTGTCCAGTTAGAGCTTTCTAAAAATTGCATTTGACTTCCCAACATAAAGGTTTTCCTTTTGGTCATCTATTCATGGTCTCTGCACGCCCCCGGGGAGGAGGATGCTACGACCCCAGTTTCACAGGACAGGCATGAGGGAGGTGTCTTGCCCAAGTTTACAGAAAGGCTGTGGTGCCCCAGACAGCTGAAGGCTGTCCCAGCCCTGGGTAGGCATTGGCAGCTCTGCCCTTCTCTGCTGGGAATGTCCTGGCAGCTCCTGGGACAGAGTGGGTGAGAAACACATAATCCTCATTTGAGAGACAGTAGCTGAAAAACATCCACTCCCAAACAACAAGGGGTTTATATTTGCTTAATGCTGAGTTTTCAGGTTATTTTTTAAGGAATTATACCCTTGAGCAAATATGGGTTTCTAAAACAATTATTATTCTTAGCTTAAAATGTGAAACTATTTTCCCTGGATTTGATTTGTTGAAATGTTTTTGTTTGAAGTAGAGGCAGCATCAAGAAAGAAGATCCCTAGCCAGTTTTTAATTAGTGCCAGAAATGCTACAGTAGCAGTTTTTAACAGTTAGAGTGTTTACATTATTCCACATCCTATAGGACAACTGTGTCCAGGAACTCACAGCCTTTTAGGTTAGACATTACAGCCTCTTCAGGTCACCTCAAGATACAACAGTAATGAAAGCTAGATGAAAGCATATATTTGAAGGAAGAAAAGGCCACACATTGTTGCCTGTAGTCATTGCATGCCTCTGCAAGCAGTGAACGCAGAAGGAGCCTGAGAAGGAAAAAGAAAGAGAACCTCTTCCCTCTCAACAAAATTACTACCTCTCAACAGAACTCAAACATCAGAGATCTTTAAATTATGGGTCTAAGCTTTCCCCTTCCCTATTCTCCTGTAATTATTTTTCAATCAGTTGACTTTAATTAACACGTCCTTGGAGAGCAAAGTGGGTGAATGGCAATGGCTGGTTTGAGATGCTGAGCATGTGCTTCCCGAGCCCTCCCAGGCTGGTCGTTGAGTTACAGGAGCAGAGGAACTCTGAAAGCAGTTAGCACTGTCTGATAAATGTGAACAAAGTATCCTCATTAAGGAAACATCTGAAAATATCATTTACACTCAAATCACATCATTTTAAATGTGGATGAGAGAAAAATCCCTACCAAAAAACCCAAGTGCAGCTTGAGCCAACAGTTTCTTCAGGCAATACTTCCTCGGGCATGTGAGGGAGAGAGATGCTTTATGTGGGAGCCTTGGATTGATCCATGCAGAGTCCTGGCATCTGGGAGGCAGAATTTGGATAAATCCATACCCTTCAACTTGCACTTTGCATTTGAGATTGCATACTTTGACTGTGCTCCTCACAATGGGCAATAACACATTTTTATAATACTTAGCATTACTGAGAGTGCAAGCAGATAAGGCTGCAAGCAGCTTCCAATCTAAAATCCATTTTCAGCTACCCTGAACCTATTAAACAGATGGAGAGCAGTTCATTAGAACATGCAATAATGAATTGAAACTTCTAACTTTTAAATTATTCTTCCTTTATACATTTCTATGGTGGATAAAGCTCCTAGGTATCAATATCTGTTTTCCTAAGCTTTCCCATTACTGTGGTATGCACTTGAAAGCAGCAGAAGTATGAGTATGCATGGATAGTAATTAGCACTCAGATAGCACTTTCCAGTTCAAAGACATTCACTAATCACCACAGTACTCCTATGAATTGTGAGCTGAGGAAGTATCAGCATCAGGCAGGAGAATAGGTGTTGCATCATTAAAGCAAGACTTTTAAGGAAACAGTTTTAGGTAAAAAAAAACCCAAATATTTGTAGCAAATACTTGCATATTATAACAAAATTTTCAGGCACCAAATCTTTTCTTTACAAACACAAAAGCAGAACTAGTGCCCCCCTGCTCCTAACCAGTCTTGAAAGACCCTGCAAAGATTTATTTAAATCTTCTGAAAAGAGTGGCTCTGAAAGTAGTGCTGTGTAGGTTCTGCTTTTTGGCAATCACCTCCTGTAAGCTTAATGACCAAACACTTTCACTGTGAGCAATCTGATGTTATGATACACGATCAGTCCAAGAAAGACAACGGGACAGTTTTCTACCAACACCTCTGTTGTTTCATTCCTAATCAGGTTGGGTCAGCCAGGCTGCACTTGGGGTGCACATGGCTGTTTGTTCACTCATGAGTTTTGTGGACATGACATGACATGACATGACATGACATTCTCTCCCTTGTCTGCTGCCAACAAGTCTGTGTGAAGAACGGCATTGGTAAGATAAAATCTAAGGGCATGGTGTAATTCTTGGGTAGAAAGTCAGGAGCTTGCCTTTGGTCCATCTAGAACTGGATCTTTCCCTTACAGTAGCTACACTGACGCATCAAAGGAAAGTAAAAGAAAAGCCCGCAGAGCAAAGTAGCAGGGTAAGTTGCCCCAGGAAAAGGTCTGTTGATCTCTAGCTCAGGTCAGCTTTTTATGAGGGTAGCACATCTGAGACTGGCTGTCTTAGGAAAGCACAATGTCAAGATATGCAGCTTTCACAGCACTGCCAACAATTGCTTGACAAGAACTTGGTCCTCTGCAGAGAGCAAGAGGGACTGGATGTGGCATCAGTGCCATGGTCTGGGAACCATGGTGGGGTTGGATCAAGGGTTGGACTTGATGATCTCGGAGGTCCCTTCCAACTCAGGTGGTTCTATGATTCTATGACAGGGGGCCCAAGGCAGCTACAGCCCTTCCTTTCTCTCTGCTGGCTGCTCACAGGGACCCACCCTGCTGAACCCAAGCTGCCTGGCCCTCTGTGCAGGTGGTGCTGGGATGCTTTCTCTCTGCTGGAGAGCTGGTGACCAGCTCAGTTAAATTATCCTGAAGATGAAAGGCACTGTGCCTAGATGAGAGCAAAAGAGGCTTTTTTCTGTGGAACCAGGGGAAGGGAAGGACCAAGGTGGGCCAGAGACCCTGTAAAGCTCCTGCTCACTGCAGGGCACCTTTATACTCTCCTTCCCTGAGACTTCACTGGAAGGTGCCATTGCAGCTCCCAGTGAACTAAGAAACACAGACTAATGCCAGCCCCACCGTTATGTATTATTGCCATACACATCAGCAAGTCAACAGAACACCCAAATTCTTTGCAAACATCTCCTGATTGCTAAATTGGACAATTACAAATCACCTATGAATGAATGTAAATGCCGAGTTCACACGTACATGGTAAACCAACTTAATTTCTCCTGCTGTGTGAGCTTCAGCTGCTATTCCTGCAGCTGATAGCAGGATGGTGGTTCAGAGCCGAGCCAGAGACTGCTGTGTATCCAAAGGGAGCAGCAGGATGCAGGTGCCTTTTGAAAGCAGGGATTCCTGCGTTTGCACTTTGTGTGCTGGTGGATAAGCAGGTACTGAGCAGCAGAGATTAGCTCGGGCACTCCCACTGCTCTGGTTGTGCCATTCAGGAGAGGCAAACTGGGAAGTCTCCCTGGTGCTG